GGGGGAAGGCAGGGAGAAGTCCTGCAGCTGAAGCTGAAATGGCACTAATTCTTCGAGTTTCAGGAGGGAAAAGCTTCGGAAATTAGCTCTGTCATTCCGTGTGCAGGCTGCAAGTGCAAGGCTCATCTTCTGCTCTTCCTGTTAATGACTAACCTGTAGACGTCAAATGAAGCTGCAGGAAGGCGTGGGGCCGCAGGAGAGCCCAGTCCTCTCTCCTCCCTGCTTTTAGAGAGCAGTGCTGTGTCTCTCTATAGCTCTCCCTCCTCTAGCAAGGAGTGATGGATTTTTTTTTTTTTTTCTCCCCAGACTATTTTAAGTGCTGGTTCCCCAGTTCAACGAGGAGGGGAAAAAGCTGGTGACTCAGTCAACTCAATACGTGCCACTGTGTGCTAGCTCACACTCCTGTTACTCTGCATTTAAAGCTGACACGACACTGTGAACTCGGACCTGGGCATACATCCCACCTTGCTGACTCTGCTTCTTTGCTGATAACCCCCGGCAGAGCAGCAGATCGGAACAGCAGCAGTACGGGAAATTCTGTGGTTACCTCAGCTGGGTCCACGCGGGCTGCATGTGACAGTTCCCAGCTGAACAAAGTTGAATGAGAGCAACTACTAGGAGGGGAATTTCAAAAGCGGGCTAAGTAGGAAAGCTGCCAGCTTTCTTGGTAAGACACAGAAGAGAGGATCAGTTAGAGGTGTTGTTATTACAGGTCTGTTGTAGCACACTTGAAAGCATACACCTGTTTTCATCAACAACCAAGTGAAAACACACACCTCTTTTCGTCGGCACCCAAGTAATACGTACACAGACGCACAGCCCAGCTATAGCTGTGGCATAAGCATTTTGGACAAGGTAAAACTTAATGTGTTGTTCTTCCTAGCAAATGTTAGGGTTAACATTATTCCAAATGGATTATGGAAAATAAATACCTGGAAAAATCTGTTCTATTATGCATATTGTTTGCATTTTATACTGCCTGTATCAAATCAAGAAGAAATACAGCTAGTTTGCAGCTACCACCTTGCATAGTGAGGCATGCTTTGGGTAAGGCATGTAGCAACACAGTGCTTATGTGAGCATTTGTCTAATTTGGAATTTACATTGCCAGCAATGGTTTTTGACAGCATTTCTGTGGGGATGTCTTATGCTTAGAATGGTGAGTAAAATTTGACGTTAGTCCTTCAAATATGGAGCAGGTTTGGTGGGAGATTGCAAAATGATCCACTCTGGCTGAATTTACTCCGTATGATCAGGAAGGTTGAGAAGAAGCCATGGTAGCTCACAGTCTGTGTAGGAGATGATGAATACTGTGTGCTCTGAGGAATTCAGCTGTTCAGAAAAGAGAGCAGCACTCTTTGGGAAATGCCAAGTCTGCAACTCCCAGGAGGTTCTGAAGGAGGGTGATCATGTTAGTCTGTTTTATGTACCAGCTTCCACTAGTGCAAGAAGGACCTTTCTAACAGATCATTTCCATCTTTAGTGTTGTTTGAGGAAGACCAGTCACAATGTTGGTTGGGCCAAGAGGAATTGTAAGGAAATAGCAAAAGTATTTCCTGGACTGGTGGAAACTCTCTTAAGCCCAATCATCTAACTCAATGTCCAGTGGAAGTGTTTGAGAATTCCCTGATTAGTTATCTAATTTAAATCTGGTTTGAGATTGCTGCAGGGTCTTACAAACAGTTTTGCTAAGGCAAGGCTCTTGTGCTCTTACCTGCCTCCAATTAGGAATTTTTATTCAATCCTTTGCTTTGAGAGATCAGAGTTCAGGCTGTCCACCAGGACATTTATGTAATGGAGCAAATGTCTTGTAAGAAGTGTAAAAAAAATCTTACAGGAAGTATAAAAATGAAAATTGCAGTCATCCAGTTGATTATCATATCTGCTCACTCTCCTCTGGGTCAGAAGGCTGGCCCATCTAGTGATCAAGGATGCAGAGGTTTCTCTCATGCAATGTATCAAGTGAATCTGAACCACTTTGTCGCCTTTTATAAATTCCACCTAGTGCTTAGTTTTAAACAGGTAAACCCTTGAACTTACTTTCCAGAAATTTCCCACTTAATTGCCAGTCTGCTTCATTTGCTAAATGTAACAAATATTTGCAAATGTAACAATATCAAGAGACTTCCTTTCGTTGTTCCTTTCCTTATTTAACGCTTTGCCAGACATTAGCAACATCTCTACTACTTCCCTGATGTCTATACATAAAGCTCTCCTGAAAACTCTTTAGAGTATCTGTTCTCTCTCTGACTAAGACCTTCTAATCATGCTGGTTAGGCCTATAGGGTGTATATGGGTGTCTGTGTGCACGCAGAGTCATACATGTAGAGTTTGGCTGTATTAGCATACAATTCAACACATTTCTTATGTTCTTCTCTTCTTCCAATATGGCTGAATGCAATCCCTGGT